CTCAAAATTAAAGAAAATAAAACTAAGCCTCAGAAAGCCACACCATGTATCTTTTATAAATAGCATATTTCATCGTTTTTGGTGGAAATTATTTCGGTTTAACAAGAGATGATAAAAATACTTTAAAATTTTCGTTGTAATAAACAACATATAGCGCGCTTAGATTTCAAATCACMTGGAAAGATTTTAAAGCAAGAGCTTGCTGCATGCTTTATTCACCTATTTTAATAAACGTTGTCATCGCCAAAGTGATAGGCGATAGGTCATCCCCACATGGAAATGTTTTCGTTGGATACAAAATCAGTATCAACACTAAGGTCCATATTCTAACAAGAACAAAAAGAAACGCAACCATTCCAGCTATTATTGGATATTGGAAGTACCTATATCCCATTTTTGCCTATCGCCTTTTACATATTGCCTTTGGCGATGACAACGTTTATTGCAATAGGTGTATATGTTGTTTTATTGTCAACGGCGAGCGATATTTGAGTTTGTAAMCCCTCATTTACATTCTTGAACAACTGATATTTGATTAGTTTATTTTAGCTGAACGAACARAATAAACATGTCAATATCAAACTTGACCGAAGGAAGGAAAATATTATTTTCCTTTTTTAAACAACAGATTTAAAAAACACAGATTAAAATACTATTGTGAAAGCTTGCCTTTATTAAATGTTGGTAAATAGAACCTCAATATATGCCTAATACGATATGTAAAAYGGAAATATATATTTAAGGAATATAAAAACGCGCGCGCATGTCTCTGTTCTTAGATATAAACACACCGGAGCTGTAGAGTGCGAAAGAAGCAAGCTGAGAAGCATGAAGCGTATACCCGAGCATTTTCTCTTGTTTTTCGAGTGTTCTCCACCTCCCAGATTGTTTATATCACACTGCAGAAGCAGAAGCATCCGTTTTATATTACTTTTATCAAAACATTTTTAAAGGATTTTGCGCAGAGCCAATCAACGCGCGCGTTATATTCCAAATACTTCAAATATATTTATATATACAAATACCAAACTAACCGCTGCGCTTGCTGAGAATATACTCAGTTGTGCGAGGTTCCTTCTTAAACAAATAAGATATAAGGATATTTCTATAGCCATAAAAAGAATACAATTATAAACTTATGACACATACACTGGAAAAACTATGGTACTATTCTACACTTGGTGGTTTTTCAAAGAAAGAAAAAACTTTTACTTTAATTATTACCCTGTATTTTTCCAATGCATGACGGCTAGCAAATGAGTCTTCCCTCTACATATGAGTCAGTAATCAAAACAGCCAGCCACTAAGTTAAAGGTCCATGTAAAGAAATATTATATATACATACTGTAGTTGTATTGATTTG